GGTAATTATCAGTGAATTCTCTATTAATAGGTAAATTAGCATCGAGGATTTCAGTGAAGAAATTAAAATACACTGTAATTTGTCAAAATATTTTGCCAAAGATTATAATTGCCATATTTTCCTTTGGAGGTTGGACGTTTTGGGTATCGATTATGGTTTTTATTTTTTTTAAGCGCTGATTTTCAACATTGATGAGGGGTCCCATTTTGAATCATTTTCATATTATAAAACGATTATGAATTTTTTTAAAAAAACAATATTTGTGTTCATTTTTTTTAAAAAAGGGGTAGTTATGCGTAAACAATATGGATAAATGTGTACGTCACCTTCTTACAATTTAATACGATTTTACATAATTTACACATCCATTTTTTTAACTATGTATGGACTAATATTTGGAATAATTATTATGTATAAGCACTTGCATACGCCAATCATTTTCTATTAGACTACAATATAGAGAAACGAGTATAATTTTGAAGTAGAAATAGGTAGATCTAAGTTGTTTATGCTAAATACTTTTTAATACATATTTGGTAATAATTGTTCAGAAGGTAAAATCTGAAAAAAATATATATATATATTTGAAAAAAGGACAAAATGCCATCGATCTGGTGAATGGGTCGTGTATGCTTAATCCACTAAGAATCCCCAATGTTGCAGCCCATTTCTTCACAATATAATTCACCTCAACTAATAGGATTTATTTGACATGACTTTCGAAAAGTAAAAAAAAACTTTTAAGATCCGAAAATTACTTTTGAACCCCGTTTAATTAATCTTATAAATGTGCTAAGCTTTTAGAGGAAGCTGTAGTTCCTTCTAAAACCACTTCCACAATAGAAAGCTCTTTTGAAAATTAATTTTCAAACAAAAATTAAAGAGTCTTTCTCATGAACCTCTTCTACAGAAAACAAAAGAAAACGTAAAAGTCATGCCAAATGTTTTTCAATCCTAATGAATCCTTTGGTACATCCATCACTATCTCAAGGATGAGTAGACCATCTACTTTTCATCAAACACATGTCTCGTGATTGAGCGGAGTGAAAATAATATCGGTGTATAAAAACACTTTCGACATCGGTCATCATGAGCATCAACATGTCTCCTTAAAATCATGTTAAGGAATGTTATTGTCTCTGATACCAGCTCACATAATGCAAAGCAATAAAACAACGGATGAAAAAAGATAGATAATCGTTAACTTCAATAAATATCGAGAATTGACCCATCAGAGCTCATTGATTAACTGAATGTCGAAAACCATATAAATCATAATCTCCTTAAATTGCAATTGAATACCGAGGATCAATAATATCTTTTATTCCCAAAAAATTACTAATATTGGTAGAGTACAAAACATGAATACACTAATTAGTTGATCAAACAAAGTAAGCTTATTTTAATTAACAGTTTAAATACAAAGATAGATTTGTTGGAAAAGGTTAGATCTTTTAATTCCTTCAAATTGATTACATCCTATTTTTTTCTTGACTTTTTGTTATTATCTTAATATAATAACATTTCCCCCTTTTGAAGCATGGAATATTTTTTATTTAATTGCTCAAGTTGTATTACGAAATTGCAAGTTTTTTTTAATAATTAAACGAGGTGCTTATAGACCAATGTTTCATATGTAGTCTACTTATCAAATTCACTTTTATTGAAATCTTAAACCGTCAAAGAGGGAATGATTAATTTTTTTTTGTTTGTTTACAGTGTAGTTTTTTCATCAAAGACATGTCACTAATACGCAGTAGAAAATTTTAGTTCTTGTGGGAAGTTGGTTTTTTGATAAGTGATTGTCTAATTTTTATTTTTATTTTTTTGGAGAATTTATGTTATAAAGTAGGGAAAAATGCTAAATTGATTTCCTTTTAATTTTTTTTTTTTAGAATGTGTGGATGAAAATTAGTGTGGAAAAATATGATTTTGAAAAAATCAGTTTCAACTAAGGGCTTAAACTCTCGATCATTGTTTGTTTTTCACAATATTATCTTAACAACTTTATTTAAAAACTTTCATGATTGATGATAGGAAAGATTTGATAGTCAAGAAGAGTACTCGGAAATAAAAGAAACTAAAATTTTTATAATGAGCGTTGCGTCCACGAAAAGAAAATTAAAATCTTGTTCATTACATTGTATAATTTTGTCAATTGAAACATGTTTCTATCCTTTTTATTGCATGAGGAACAACTTCCCGAATCTGACTGATCCTTTTTATCCATTTTTGTTGACCTTTGGTTCATTTATACTATGCATGAATATAAAATGATTCTTATATACAGATGCACTGCATTAGACAAAAACAAACAGGAATTCAGTTTACTATATAAGGTAGATGACATAACATAAATTGTACATCATTAATTTTTACAAAAGTACATCAATTTTTTCTTCATTCTAAGAGTGATCATACATGGGAAAAGATTTCTCTGATCATGAATTTACTGATATATACCCCTCAAAAAGGCTCAAACTTTTCGGTTTCAAGCTAAATCCACATGAAAATGGATCTGCAGAAAGGGATGAAATTGTAAATTTATCGTCGTCTCCTTCTACCGGGACAGATCAAAAAGATGTTTCGGACGAGAAAAGTTTAACAGATGACAAGAAATTCGAGTGCCAATTTTGTTATAAGGTGTTTGCAAATTCACAAGCACTGGGAGGCCATCAAAATGCCCACAAAAAGGATCTGAGGAAAAAAAAAATAAGCTGCAGCTTCAAGCAAGAAAACCCAGTATTAGTTATTTCGCTCAACCTTTTCAAAATATTCATTGTCTCAATTTCCAGAGCTCAGGTATTGCGCTCTATGAGGAGTCTCAAATCAGCTTCCGCCCCTATGATTATGGAGCGGAGACTGATATCAACGGCCGCAAGGTTTCCACGTGGGCTGCAGCCGCTGCCCTGCCGGCTCAAGATACATGCTGCACGCACGCGGACAGATCAAGAACCACCAGACGTGTCAGCAAACCTTCTTCTTTGCCTAGTTCTAAGCAGAATTTCAAAATTAGATCTCCAATTAGGATTGAGCTTTTCTCCAACGCTCGACTAGACTATAATAGATAAGATTTTAGCTATTTATGGATTCTGTCAAGTACAGATTTGTTAGTACACTCTCCAGTACAAAAGATAAAATTTATAGATTATTCTTTTTCCTTATTCCTGTCTACTATAACATGAGAAACATAAGGACAGTGTTTTCGCAGTCATTGAGATCCCGAATTATACATTGAATCCAACTGCTTGTTTGAATGAATCCTTCGTCCGTAATATTCAATGAATTTGATGGATTAACTACTGAAATTTCAGGATTGACAGGAGTTAAATACACAGCCATTAAGCACAAGTCTCAGCCTCTGTTTTTGTGCAAAAATATAGCAAATACAAAATTTGTATTCTGAGTTGTTGCAACAAAAACACAACCGAACCAGTAACTCAAGAACACGAAGAACACAATCAGATTTTCAACATCAAAGGATTGATTATCATATTTAGGGCTCAGAAGAATACATTGTACCCTTTTGTACAAAAGAAGCAAGTACAAAGACCCAAACCCTAAAGATCGAACAATTGCAGCTACTACAATGGAACCCAAAATCAAACAATTGATCTCAACACAAAACCCTCAATCGAAGAATCACAAAGGCTCAAATCATACAGATTTAACAACCAACACTAGAAGTTTTAGTCAACACAAAGTAATTGAAAGAAGGAATGGAAGAGACGATGCAGAGAAAACCCCAAAAGCTTCTCGCACCAAGAATGGTATGAAAAGTCACTCAAGGGCAACTGTTTAAGCCCTTAAATACACAAATCCATCACAGTAGATCTCAGCCAATGATCAACGGCCCATAGCAGCACACATGTCCATCAAATGGGTAGGGTTTTGGGCCTATTTCAAATGAGTTATTAGGCAACGGCTAGAACCAATCGAGCAATGGGCTTGACCCAATTTCATCATAGCCCAGTGAACTGAATGCAATCAATTTAGGGAAAAATTCATTTCTAAGATGTTAAGTATGTGCCATTTCAAAAATAAGAAAACAAGTTTCAAATTTCAAAAATCAGATTATTTATTTATTTATGAAGTAATAAATTACTAAATAAATTTATCAAAAATTTAATTCTACTATAATATAATTAACCCACCCCACCTCCTACACCCCTACCGCTCGGGGGACTACTCCGGCGATCGTTCCAACTACTTTTTCGATGACTGCACCGATTCCGACGACTATTCCTGTGACCGTTCTGCCGCAGCTTTGTTCCAGCGAGTACTTCAATTCTGACAATTGTTCCAACTCCGGCAACAACTCCAATTTAATTAATTATATAAGTCATAGATTTATAAAATATGGTTGTAGATTCTCAATTTTGTTAGTCACATTCTTTTTTCGATCACAAATCATAATTTTTTACGTCACAAATTATTTAAGGTCACATTTCAAAAAATTTATACGTCACAATTTGTTTATTGATCACAGATCAAAAAATTTGTAGGTCACGGATTATTTCAAGATTATAAATCTAAAATTTTATAGGTCACAAAATATAATTTTCATGTCACAAATTATTTTATGATCACAATTCACAAACTTTGTAGGTCACAATTTGTCNAAAATTCAAAAATCAGATTTTTTATTTATTTATGAAATAATAAATTACTAAATAAATTTATCAAAAATTTAATTCTACTATAATATAATTAACCCACCCCACCTCCTCCACCCCTACCGCTCGGGGGACTACTCCGGCGATCGTTCCAACTACTTTTTCGATGACTGCACCGATTCCGACGACTATTCATGTGACCGTTCTGCCGCAGCTTTGTTCCAGCGAGTACTTCGATTCTGACAATTGTTCCAACTCCGGCAACAACTCCAATTTAATTAATTATATAAGTCACAGATTTATAAAATATGGTTGTAGATTCTCAATTTTGTTAGTCATATTCTTTTTTCGATCACAAATCATA